CCCTATTCAACCACTGTATTCAACGTTGTTGGACAGCTACACCACCTTCTTCGTAAAGATTCTGCTTCATTTTTGTCTCCATGAAGAACTCTTTCTCCCCATCAGGGTTATTATCATATTTGTACAATCATCAAAGTGTCTTTATAATTTGTAATAGTGGAGGGTATTTCTTGCTCCATCAAACTCAGGTTGTTTGTTATTCTGTTTAAGGCCATGTTTATCAGCTATTTCAAATTTAATTATACAGTGCAATGAGTATAGAAGTACTCTGAACAAATTTATTAATAATATAGAAAAAATAATTTCCATTATTCACTTTAATTAAAATATTGAAGTAATTATTATAAAAACATAAAAGATATTTGTAATTTTTGTTAGGCTCATGCACCAAATAAATGGCATGGTTTATAAACAACAACATTAACAGAAAGAATATTCCTTGCCCTCAAGAATTCTCTTACTGGGAACAAATAGAGATCAGAAAGATAGCCTTAGAGGATCACAGCAACAACCCTGAATTATTGTTAAATACGCAGTTCTACACTGGATGAATTAAAATACACATCATGGATAATTAACACAATGTAACATGATCTAGTAAGTTCTTTATTAACATTGGGAAACATGGCTGCAAGTACAGGGGAGATTTCCTTCATAAATATGTATTATACCGTGGTGTTGAATTCCACAAGTCAGGTGTGTTTTGCACTTTAAATATATCCTTTGATCAGATATAAATATAAGGTTCCTCCATTAAAGCAATCTCTATGAAAGAGAAACTATTTCATCATAGAATCATAGAATGGCCTCAAAAGGACCTCAAAGACCATCTAGTTTCAACCCCCCTGCCACGGGCAGGGTGGCCAACCACTAGACCAGGCTGCCCAGAGCCATTTCTGTCATACTGATGGATGTTTTTTAAGATTTAATGTGTTTTTCCATGAACAGCCATAATGTTCATGCAGAATTTTTCTATTCTGCTAATTTGTGCTGTACATTTTTGTGGGCTTTTTTCCTTTTTCTGATGGATGTTTTTGAAGACAATGGTGGGTAATTTCACATATTACCTTTAAAACATTGCTATAGCTGTTGCCCTGTTTTTATACCATTGCCAAACATAATTGGCAAGATTTAAGGACCTTTTTTTTACTTTGTTATTTAATCATTATAATTGCCTACATGCTCAGTATTTTTTTTACAAATTACATAACAAATAATGTGTATGTACAGACTGTGTTAAATTCACGACACACCTTAGTGAGTCATATACCCATGAATGGCCTTACAACTTTCCTCTTCTTTTTACAGCCTGAACATTTTTCTTCAAAAGCAAACAGATAAATAGCTAGACCAGATTTAAAAAATACATATATATATATTTCAAGGTTTAATATAATTATTATCTCCCAGAGTTACTGAAATATCTTAATTATTGCCAGTTTGACTGTTTGAACTGATTGACCAAACTTGTTCACATTATCTAGGATCATCTCCTGGACTCCCACCAGGCAGTCACGCCCTGTTTCCTGTGACAGTTTTTCAGATTACTTTGGCATGACCTTGAATACTTAGCACTTGACAAAGAACACGTTGCTGTTGTATGCGGGTTACTGATCTCCCTTAGTACAACGTGTTTGGTATTTTTATTCTCATTTAAACACTAATCATTCACAGTCCAGTCAGCCACTGCGATAATCTTGTTCTTACTATGACAGTGCCCTGTTTGATACAATAAAACATAAATCTTACCTAGATTGGACACAGTTTCAGTTATTAGAACACTGAACAGAACTTTTTTTTATCCTATAAAACAGATGTCCTTTAAAAACATTTTCTTACTTCCTCATTTCTGCACAACTATAAACAATTGTATCAGCACAGTTTTTGAAAGTGGACTTATTACATAAATTATATTGCAGCTGTCTGATTAGGGAGGAACTGCTTACGTACTGTGTATTCACTCATGGGTAAATTATGGCTCTTCGCTTCTTTTTAACTCTGACCCACAACCTGTGAGTCAACGTCAAAGTATGTATTATCTGTTTTATTGTGTCAGATTGTTTTAATACCACATAACAAATTTTACAGGTAAAAGGATACATTCCTCCTCTTGAAAATAGGTCTCAGCTATCTGAAAAGGAAAAAAAAAAAAAAAAACAACAGGAAAATTAGTGTTCCTTCATTTTTATGAGAGTGGCAGGGATATAATTTGAACTTTTCATTATAGATTTAAATGTCTGCTTTGCAGATTCATATTTAATTTTGAGAGAATAGAAATATTTGGACTAAATGCACGTACTCTTATTCTAAGAAAGATGCTTAAAGAGAATATCAAACAAAGATATCACAAGTTTACCTGCACAAATGAATTTGCTCAAATATATGTTGGGTTTTGTCTTGTTACAACAACATTTATTTCAGCAATTTTTAAAAATGATTATATTAGAAAGTTATAAAATGACAGAAGTACATGTGTTTAATGATAGATGAGTTTTATTTCTGACCATGATGTAAGATCATTGTTGAGCTCTCCTGAGCATTACAGTGCAATGTGATGAAATGGAGAAGTAGAGACTTCCTGGCTAATGAGAAAACAACAATCTCTGGATCAAAGACACTGAAAGTAACACCTACAGCAAGATCAGAGATATACCAGCAAGCTTCCGGTTTATACCCCATTTACAGCATTTCAGATTTTAAGCATTTGAAATTCATGAGATAAACATGAGAGGAATGAATTTCTTCTTTTTTTTTTGTTACTCCCAGTTCACCAGCAGAATCCAGACAATAGCAATGCAGGAACCTTCTTCCACTTTCTTTCATGAAGCTACTCTTCTCTGTTAAAAAGATCTAAAGACTCTCTGCTTCTTATGTCATTTCCCAAAGCATAGCACCTTGGAATCTGAAGCTCTTTCAGAATAGAGCAGGTCATACAGTTCAGCCAGACAGCAGCTGTTTGATTAGAATTGTTGCTAAAACTGACATTTCTATAATTAAAACTGGGTTTGTAACAGGACAGCTCTACCAAAGAAGACCATCCCTCCCCTCTGACAAATAGTCTTAGAAATTTACAACATGAAAAACTTATTTGTGCTCGCCAGAAAAGTAGGTAGACTTTTCTTAGAAATCACAAGAATTGTGATGTGCTTTTTGGTAAATGCAATATAAAGCTCAGAAGTAAAATTGTGTTTTTCAAACATCCCAATACATATTGCTTGATATGTCTTAGGAAGAAAGAGAATGTGTTTGGTTGACATGTTTGAATCTGGAAACCCAGACTGCGTTTTCAGTCCTGTCACAGTTTCTGTGCGACTTTGAAAAGGTTGTTTGCCTTAGGGTTTGGCTTCCTCACGTATGAAGCTGTGAACAGATTTCATCTCTATTGCGGTCAATGACACTCCTTCACGTTTGTCAAGAGTTTTGAAATTCTTGCCCTAACGGTATTGTTTTCCAAAGTAGATCTTTGTACTGACTCATAGATAAACACCAAATTTGACATGGCTGTAAGTACAAATGGTTAACCTTAATGCTAAGTTTCAAATAAACTAAGGAACAGTAAGAAATAACTTCACTTAAGTACAAATCTTAAAAAAACAACAACACAACAAACAAAAACCAAAAAAACCCCTCCTATGTTAAATGTGAAGCATCTCGAAGAAGAAGCCTCTCCTACCATCACCTCTCATCTCAGTCAAAACAGAATAAGAATGCAGGTGCACTAACATAGTGAAAATATTTAAAATATTACAGTGGCCCAATTTTCCACAATAAGGACAACGTAACTAAGTCAAGTCAGACACTATCATGTCTCTGTGAGTCACTTCAGCCAAACAAAAAGTATTCCAGCCCACTGTTAGTCCAACACAACAGAACTATGCATTAATAGTGCACTGAGTCCTAGCCACATACTTTTCAAAGTGTGCTTTTCAAATTACACAGTATTTCTCTCGGTAGTGCAGATGTGGTGACTGTGCGAGAAAAAGTATATACTAAGGAATCTTGAATCTTAGCATTCACACATGAAGGTCAAGCTAGGAAGAAGTCTGCAATAGCAAAAATAATTCCTGGTGCAAAATGTGATTTAGACATCAGCCATCTGCATTTCTGTGTCCTAAATATTCCACTAGTGTCCTACATATCATGCAAAGCCTGTCTTTAAGAGTTTCCTTCAACAGCAGAATGTACTTCTGAGACAGCTTATAATTTAATATATATATATTAGAGTGGACATATTTGCCTTCATCCTCTGTGAAGCAGAAAAACTTGAAAATACACTGTCCAGATATGAATACTGACATATGCTGAATCAATGCAACTTTTTCCCACTGAGAAAAAGTCGCAATCACAAAGTTGTGTGCAGCAATCCAGAATCATAGGAAGTACCTGATGGAGACACAGGGGCAGTGTCTTTGAATCCATCTGCTCAACCTCTTCACGGAGCAAAGAGAAAAGGGACTGCAACGTTTGTTTTTGTTCTTTTTGGTGAGAATTTTCATTTGCTTCAACAGCACCTTCAGAATGCACAGACTCTGTATGTGTAACAAGAGTATTTTCCTCCTTGATTGCTGTGGTTCCCACTGAAGGAACTCCTTTAAAAAGAACAAGTACTCAGGTTAGGATTCAAAAAATACGCTGAGCTGCATTTTTAGGAAATTTCAATACAAAAGCTGTGAATAAAATCTTATTATCTTAAATAATAGCCCTGCAAGTAAATAAAACATTGGTCTTGTCAAAATTAGTTGCAATCGGTTTCAATGTCTCAATGTCAGCTCACCTACCTGGAAAGACACAGTGACACACATCAGCTATTTTTGTACACTACTAACTGGGACTCAACTTTAACTTGGAATGAAAAAAAATCACCTAGCCTAAACTGTTTTAGAGTGATTAAAAAGAGACCAGAATCCAAACTGAAGTGTTGTGGCTCACGTTATTTTCAGCAGCTGAAGTCAATACTTAGGAGCTCAGACCCAAGACACCAAATTTCTGTTTTAAAACAGGTGAAAAGTTTTGCTCTGAATGGACTGAAAGAAGAAAAGGAAGAACAGTGAGTTCCTGAAAGGCAGGGAATGCTTTGTGTTGAGTAAGTACTCTGGTGGTGGCCACCTACTTCCAGGAAAGAGCTTTGTTGACTTGCTGAGACAAATGCCTGGAGAATGCACTGAATGGCTATGTCATGTAGGCTCTTGGCTGGTGTCTTCATGCCTGCTAAGGAGCTTGTAAAGGGAGAAGTCCAGGGAAGGAAGGGCTCCTGCTGAGAAGGTGAATTCAACCTGTTCTTTGGATGACAACACAGCGTCTCCTCATAGTGATGACAGGAACTTAAAGGATAGAAAGAAGCAAATGATGTGGGAATTCTGCTTGCACTGGCAAGGATTGTACTGCTGAGTGAAAACACAAACATCCCTTGATAGCAAGATTGTTTGGGAGTCCAGGAGACAAGCCAGTAATGATGATCCCCTTTGGCACCAACAACAAGGAATTTAATGAACAGAATTTCTGTCTAGGCAGGAAACCAGTACTTCCCAATCCATTGCTGCCTGTCTACCACTTTTACAGAAGTGAAAAAAAGGCAGGTACACTGGTGAATGACTGGCAATGAATGTGAAGTATAATGTAAAGCGTGACAGCACAAAAATATTGCAGGAAAAAAATTCAGGGCATAAATTCTGTATTTTATTTTAGAAATGCAAAGTTACCAATGCATTGGAAGAGAGGTTCTTGAAGGACTGGAAGAAAGAGTAGGACTTCATGGTCGCTTTTCAAAATGGAGAAAAGTCAGTGGTGGGTGGGATACTCATGGACCGTTTTTACTGAGTATCTTCATCTCCTTCTCCAAGACAAAGATGGCCAATGAAATCTCAAACTGTGCAAATGACAAAGGTCTTTTGGGCAGTCAAATATTGCATGAATGGTGATGAACTTCAGAAGGACCTCAAGAACTTGAGCTGACAAAAAGATGGCTGATGAACTGCAGTGTAGGTAAAACTAAACTGTTGCCTGTTGTATGGCCTGAACCTCTGATCGATCACCTGAGGCGAGCAATGCTCAGCCACGGGAGCACAGCTGAAGGCAATTCACCTGTGCTGCCAAAAGGGGTGGAGCCTGGCTGCACCTCTCCTAGACTCTTTTAAGAGCTGGCTACCAGGAGGGAAGGGTCTTTTCTGGAGATTCCTCATCTGGAGTTTTGCAGTGAGCCCAGGATGTGGGTAAGCATACTATCTATTCTCTTTTTGTTATTATAACCTGCTTACCCAGACTCTCTTGTTTATTTCATGATTATAACTTCTGTATATTCATTGATTATACAGATGTACAATTCCAATTTCAAAACCAGATAATAAAACGAAGGAAAGCTCTAAGAGTCATTGGTAGCTCTGTGGAACCACTAGAATATGAGCATCATCTCCCAAAAAACTCCATATGAAGAGAAAGGATCTCTTGCAGACACATTTATACTATCATAAAGCTCTGCGAAAGTGCTTTGATTGGTAAGTTTGTTCCTTTAAGTGAACCAGTTTTACCACAAAGCTTGGCTTTATTTTTGCATAGCAGGCTACTTTGCCATTACAGAACATACTGTATTGGTAAAGAGTAGATGCCTACCCAGTCCTAAAACAATTGATTTCTCAATTCATGAACAACTTATTTTTCTCTAATAATGAAATGTATTTGATATCTTTAGAGAGGACATAATTTTACAAATTTATGAAGTTTAGATATTTGTTTAAATATCAGCATTATTTCAAATGGTGAAATTGCTGTAAGTGAGTAATGTCCATATTATGAACGAAGTATGGCGTGGCCTAAAGTGAAAGTTAGAGTTAGCCATTAAAGATTATGGTCAGCCAAGACTGACGCTGCTTTTTCCATATAGAAGTGCATCTTGTTCTTCGAAAGCAGTACACTCAAGAGTCTCTGAAAGGAGCCAATTCCATTTTGGAAGAAATTGTGAAATACATCTTCAATTTGAAGAATAAAAAAAGCAAATAATGCTATTTCTCAGAAAACACATTCTGAGTGTTGCTGCAGAAAAACTGTAACCTACTGATTAATGAAAAGCCCAACACTGTACTTAACAACTGATAGCAGTAAAGTGTAATAAAGGAGTAAACAAAGAAAAAATGAAAAGAACAACACAAGCTCCACCAACTTTCCTCCCAAAACCAGTGACAGCACCATGATTATTTTTAGTGCCAGCAAATATGTATGTGAAATTAAAGACTTCTTGAAATTAAATTAATTAGACAAAATACAAAAAGCAACTTGCACAGATAGACAAACTCAAATACACTGAGACTTGTGCAATAAACCTCTATAAAAATGGTAAGCATGTTCCCAAACCACATCCATTTCTGAGAACTCATCAGCTAAAAGCAGGACACGCGGGGCCACCACATCAGGTTAACCCCTTCCCAACAATAAACCCCACTTTCTGTAATCATTTAGATTCTGTTGTTCCTGCAGCTCAAGCACTCAGCATATTCCAAATTCCTTTGTGTTCACTGCAACTGAAACCCTACAGTGATGATCCAGGTTTAAGATTTAGAGGTTAAGAGGTTAAGGCACTGAATGTCAATGGAAGGCTCCATCATTCTATTTTTGGTTACTTATAAACTCTTTATTGTAAACTATCCAGGTCAGGAGTCCTAACAATCTCTGTGGGTGGCTATTTTTGCAGGGCTTATTGCCAGACAAAATATGGGTGTAATTTAACATTGCTTTTTCATTATTAATGTATGCCTCTGCTTTTCCAATATTTACTCATGCTTGCTATGACCAAATGCAACAAGGGACATAACTGGGTGCAAGGAACAAACCAGGAGGTGTTTTTAGATAGAATGAAGGCTATATTTAAGAAGAGATGCATACATTTTTTTTTTCAGCACATGGTCATGAAACACAAAAAGAGGACCCAGATGTTTTAGCAAACCTACCTCAGGAGAAAAAAAGTAACTTAAAAATGCACTTTAATAAGCAGTTAATAATCAGCTGTCACATCAAAACATGAAACATGCTCAATAGCAACTACCACAAAACCCCTTCAGTTTAATGTTGTTGTGGTACTTCTACTACATAGCTAGACACTGCATATTGTTCCTGCATATAGTTGAGCTGTCACTCATTTGGAATCCAATTCTGCCCTTGGTTTTAAAACAATACATCAGAGTCATTCAGGTTAATTCTACCTCGCTTTATTTTAAATACAAGACAATATTTGTACCTTAGTAACAACATAACCAAGAACATTTCCTGAGGCTGCAACACTTAGTAATGTTATTTTATCATGAAGATGTTATGGGCTGAGATCACTCTTCATTTACTTATCATCCATGTTCTTAAAAAGAGCACAAAACACCATTTTCTCTTGGAATCCAATCTTAATTGCTGTTACCAATTACTTCATCTAATCTCTTGTTTTATTTTCTTCTCTTTTTAAATATAAATCTACACTTTCTTCTCTTTTTTAAATATAAAATCTACACTTGAAAGATGTACTCACTGATGTTCTGTATCACTTAATGAGCAATTCTCCTCACAATGACATATTTTGGTATCCTCTTATCTTTACTAGAAAACATAATTTTTCTCTTCTAGATCTTGCCTGTATGTAAAAGACATGGAACACAAAACTTCCTTTTCATTGCTCCACGTATTTTGCAACCCTCTCAGATCATCATTTTTCAGAATTAGGCCATAAAGACACAAGTCATTTGTAAAACTGTACTCTACTATTTTTATTCCCCTAACTCCCCATCTTCTCAGCTTTTAGAAGGGGGAAAAAAAAAAAAAAAAAGAAAAACCGCAAGAGTGACTAAATTGCTCCAAGTAACTCTCAAAGATACTGATGGGATGAAACACACTCAATTTAATTAATGTATTTGCAGCACAATGTCACATAAACTTTGTGATCTATGGCAGAAACTTAATATGTGTGTTGATGCAGACAAATCCTACTCCTTTGAAAAGGAAGAAACATCTCAAAAAAGGACATGTAATAAACTTTTACATATTCTTTCCCCAGTTCAGATGCAAAATATCTAAAGGAGAAGTAACATCAAAACACTTAAGGAACTCAAAATACTTAAATAACTCATTACTTGAAATGCACATCCTAAGACTACATACCAAGCTTTAAATTCTGACAGCAACAGGTCTAGACATTATTCATACCAAGATTTAAAATCTTGACTCTGTATCCAGACACCAAAATCTTGCACTTGAGCACTTCAGCAACAACATAATGCCTGAATTTCTGGCCACTCTGATTTGGAAGTCAGCCCAATTTCCATACTGAAAGTCTGTACTTGCTCGACTCATCCTTCCATGATGTGTTTCATTTGTTATATAGCTGATTAATTGAAATATATGCAATTAAAACATCTAGAATTTAAACTGATTTAGTAATTTTGAAGTAGAAAAAAAAGCTAAATGAATTTTTAAAATAGTTAATATGGCACATAAAACCTATCTTTATTACTAGTTCACAGATTAAAACTATAGATTTATTTTTTTAAGTAAACAGAACAGAAGCATATTTTTTAGAAAGTACCTTTAGTTTTTTTACTGGAGCTTCTTTTGCTTCTTGGACTTCTTTTTCCACCTGGCTGTTTTTCTGTGATAGGCTTTTCCTCCAGCTGAGGGTCCATATGGACATTCACAGATCTCCTCTCAGTCTCACTTTCCTTACAATCTCCACCGTCCATATTCTCATTATTATTGATGCTGTCCTGCTCACCTTCATTCTGTCTTCCCATAGCAATTCTACTACCGGTCAAAACTTCATTCCCATCATTGTCAAGTTGATTTTCATTTTCGTCAGCTGTAGAAACCAAATGAGAGGTCAAACATTCGACCCTATAGTCAGCAGGAAGACTGTCCTTTGAGTCTATTTGTAGATCATTTGGTGGAAATTCTCTGTCGTCCATCAGAGCGTTACTTGTTGAACCACTTAATCCCCTTCCAGATATTTTTAGACCTAAAATACAAAACCAGAAGAAGCATTTATAAATGGTACTATAATTAAGCTCATGCTTAATTCCAGTCAATAAGGAATCACATTAGCAAAGTGCTATAGTTTAAAGGCATGGGGAAATTCTTTCAAACAGCAACCCATTGCCCTGCTGGAAGTTTTATAAAGCAAAACTAAATACATACAATAATGACCTATAAATTTCTATTTTCATGCAATTATTATTGGTTCAAGTTACGTGACTAATAGCATAGCTGATCTTCACAGCAGTGCATAATGTTATAACTGAAGTAACACGAAAAACCAAAAGATAACAAAAAGCACCACCTCCACTTACATCCGTGGCCAAAATAAAAACATTATTATCGTGTAAGATGACAGTTTGTCTGAAATAAAAATAAGCCAGGAAGAAACAAAAGCCAAACAACTTTCATTTCTGTCACTCATGGCACCACACCAAACATGTAGATAGGTTAATTCTTTTACAAGATCTAGATGCAAATAGAACCTGTTTATTGACTCAGATTGTCAGTTTATTTTCAAGAGAACATTCAACATGTCTTCAGTATACACACAGGCAGATGGTTTGCTAATAAAAAAATAAATCCACCACCTACTCTCAACAGGGGTCAATTTTCCCTTTTAGTGAACACACAGCTCTAATCAATGCTGCAATTAAGCACACAGTTACAAGAAAAAAAGCATAACCCTTCATGTGGTACTCACAGAGGACTTTATTATTTGGTTTCCTCAGAAACCAAATAATCCTATATGCTAGGATCCTATCCTATAAATATATTTATATCCTATAAATATGCTTCCTTTTAGAAGCATAGAAATACTGTTGGTTTAACTTAGCAACTTGATGAAATGCAGCTCTGTTAGGTACATCTCATTAGATTTATCTCAAGCATTTTAAAAATTAAAGCAAAAAAATGGATAGCAGTCTTGTTATATGGAAGAGCTTTGACAAGGTTCATAAGGTAGCTTCCTATCCTTTCCTTCGAAGGAAAAAGCATTTTAGGAAAACTGTTTCACTGAATTCTTAGGTATTGTGATCTGGAATATACAACTGAAATAACTAAAATGCACATTTATTAAATATGCAACATATTGTTTCATTTTATTTGCTAGAAGAATTCAAATTGCATTATAAAAATGAAAAAATGCCTGGGAGAATATATAAGCATTCCTCTTTAACCTTTGTAGTTGCTTATAGGACTTGAAAAAAGAAAACATCATTCTCATCTTAGGGAAGACAAGGAGAAGGATCCAGCTATGGGCTGCTCAACCTCACCTTGATCCTCATAAGATGATGTAGAAGGTAATCCCAGAAGTTGTTTTCAAATATGTATAGGACAAGAAGGTCATAAAGAGTACTCAGCATGGGCTTAAGATGGATAAATGGCACTTAATCAACTTAATAGTCTTTTGTAATGATGTGACCAGTTCAGTAGATAAGAACAGTGGATACCATTTGTCTTGACTCTAGAAAGGCTTCTGACACTTTCTCCCATAACATCCCTATAGACAAAAATACAAAAAACCAGGTTACATAGGTGAACTGAAAACTGGCTGAATGTCTGAGCACAGAGCACTGTGTTCAGGTGACTGAAGGTTGCAGACCAGTGACCAGTATACATCCAGGAGCTAAGAGCCAAGCCAATACTGTTTACCCCTTCATTAATGACCAAGGTGATAAGAAAGTCAATCTACACTAAGTTTGATGATGATACAGGGGGAGGTTGTGCTGCTGTTCACAAGGACCTTGACAGGCTGAAAACAAATGGGATGATGGGAACTTAATGAAGTCTTACAAAGGAAAATGCAAAGTCCTGCACGTGGGAGGAAATAACCTCATGCACTAGTACAGACTGAGGGTCACCCAGATGGAAAGTAGCCTGCAAAAATGGCCTCGAGGTCCCTGCAGGCAGCAGTTGATCACCAGCTAGCAAGAAACCTTTATGGAAAAGATGCCAGCAGCATCTTGAGCTGCATTATGATAAGCAAGTCAAGGGAGGTGATCCTTCCTCTCTACTCAGCACTGGTGAGATACATCTTGCTGGGTCCAGTCCTAGGCTGTCCCTTAGCAGAAAAATATGGACATACTGAAGCAGCTCCAGGACAGGGCCAAAGAGAGGATTAAGAGTCTGGAGCATCTGTCAGAGGAGGTGAGGCTGAGAGAGCTGTAATTGTTCAGCCTGCATAGGCTCAGAGAATTTATCAACATATATAAATATAAAATGAGGAAGTAAAGGAGATGCATCAGACTCTTCTCAGAGTCTCTTTCTCAGAGAAAGGAGTAGAGGCAATTAACACGAGCTAAATATAAGAAATGCTAAACATAAAAATTAGTTTCAGTAGTAAGGTTGATTGAACATTGGAAAGGTGTTACCCAGAACAGGTTGTGAAGTAGCCATCCTTGGAGATTTTCAAAATGCGACTGGACAGTCCTGACCAATCCACTCCTCTTTCTTCACTACATCAAGTATTCTGCCCCTCTGTGACTGCCCTCTACACTTGTCCTGACACAACTTGTTAGTATTCCTGAGTTTATTTCTAAAACACTTCCTTCTTAACACAACATACATTTTGTTGAGATAACAGCTGCCAGGAAGTGTGCTAAAATAACTTTTAGTAGTCAACCACTTATTAGCAGAAGTTTACTTCTCCTCCATTCAGGTATTCTTGGGTCACTTCATCAAATACCGTTCTACTGGTTCTACAGGAGTGGCAAGACATGGGCAGCTACACCTGCCCTTAGATAATACTTCAACCAGCATATGCTCTGTGAAGGTTAGGAATTGGAATGACTGCGTGCCAGGTGCCCATGGTATTTTCAAAAAGAATGCTCTATGAGTTCCTTGTAAGCACACAGAGGTGGATGAGCCACCAGCAGCTGGGCAATGCAAAAGCAAAGTCAGTACAACTCATTTTCTGCTTCCAACCTGAAGAGCTTGTTAGCCACTTCCAGCCATACCTGTCCAACAAAAAAGTACTGCCTTCCTATAACACATGTGCATCTTAAAAAAAAAAAAAGCAACAAAACTCAGTCTAGAAGATTAATGAATTGTACACTGAAGTGGGAAAGATGCAAGTTGTAATTTCCTTTGTCAAACTAACAAGAGAAACGGCTTTCTTTAAGTACCAGAAAGACAAGGAAGGGATCTCAAGAGGAGATGCTCATCTGAAGAATGTATCTGTCCATAAGAGGGATGCTCCTTATTCAAGCCCCTTTCTCTTCAAGAGTTAAACATGAAAAGAAGAGCTAAAAGGAGAACAGAACTTAACTATTCCTGTAAGAATCAGAACCAGAATATGTTTGTTATAGACACCCACACAGAATTAACATTTATTGATGGTAACTGTTGTAAATCATTTGGGGAAAAAAAAAAAGCCCAAATACCACGTTAAACTTGAGAGGTCTAATTCTTACTCTTCCTAGCACATGAAACAGTAATTATTGCTGCCCCACTCAGCTCATGGATTGAATGGTACATCAAATAAAAGAAGTTAGAGTGCACTGCCCAAAGCCAATGAGGAATTAATTTTATCAGCAATAATTAAAAACCAGGATGTCCTGTGATGTTCTACCACTGTTTTGCATCTATCAGTAGACAACTGCTCTTCCTTTCAACAGCTATCACTGGGAAAACTGAAACATTTAAACAAGGTGTTTCCTATTAGATTGCAAAATGAGGGAAAGATGCTTTTGATAAATGACATTTTATACAACGGAGGTTAACATTTTGATGGAAAATATTAAGTCATTTCCTTTTAACACGTGGCTAAAATGACAGTCCTCTAGCTGAGACACTGGACAGCCTTTGCAGCCAATGTGGGACTTTTTTTGGTTGATAGTCTGAAACACAACACTATTGCAAATAAAATCAGCCTTTAAAATCTACTTACTACAACTCAGAGAGAATCCAAAAAGAGCTACATCAAAGAATTTAGGTTAGTCCTGCCCTTGAACTTTTGAAGGAATTCCACTAAGTAAATCAACTTCCATTTTACAAAGGCCATACTCTTCAGCGTTCACTCTCATGTAGTTCCTAAATTCCAACAATTTTTTTAGTTGCTCATTTCTGTGTATGTGTACCGTGACTTCCTTCCGTCAATCCTTACTAGGGGAACATTACCTTCAATACAGTTATCTGGATGAAAAAAATGAAAGATCAGAGGTAAAAGTTCTAGAGGAAAAGGGACAGCACAACATGTGTTAACAGTTCTCAGCCTAGAAAGGTTGCCATAAGAACAAGCAAGCAGGCTGTCTAGAGATATGCATTTGCCATCTTCTTAAAGAAGAGATTAAGCAAGACTTAATTGTGAGGACAGGAAAAAAAGAGATAGCACCTAGGATTAAGGGAATTTAATTTTCTTTATTGTTGCAAGGCTTTTGTCTCTTGCTTTCATGTACATTTGTTATTATTTTTAATACAAACAGCTTAGCAAGTCCTAGAGGAAAATGAAGATCATTTGATTCTGCTAAAAAATGGTATTTTTACAGAGTTAAGGCTTTTAGCTCTTGAAAAAAATAAAAATAAATTAAAAAAAGGAAAACAGCAGAAAATGTATAGTTTCAAGAATCACAAAATGTAACCTATTTATCTCTTAAAAGAAAAATAAAAGTGATGATCTTTGTGAGAGCCAGCATGGAGATACGTTGTAAGACAACACTGAAATGTTATTATCTCATTTCATGTTGACAACAGTCTTTCATAAATTAATCTAAACCAATGTGAAAACCAGAATGGCAGTATAAAATGAAATGTGTACTACAGATAATTACTATTGCAAATTAATTTCTGTATGCATGTGTTACAGAAATGCTAAGTCAAGGCTTGAATCAGTGATTGAGCACCTGGTGGGAAGGCAGGGCCAACCCAGGGGAACTCAGGTGCATGCAATGCCCCTGAGGACTGGAAGGGGTGGAGCCAGGATCTACCCCTTCTCAGACCTCATTTAAGGGTTGGCAGTGAAGGTGAGGGCACCTCTTGTTGGGGATCTCTGCCTAACTGGGGCCTTCCAAAGGTAAGTAGTTTTTTTCCTTTATTTCTATATCTACGGCTGCTGCGTTTGGGTATGTTCACATTTGCTGCAGCCAAAGCCTTTGCCACCCTGCCATTATTGCAGTACTTTCTGTCCCATTACAGCATGTAAGATGATTGATTTTTATTTAATGAACAATTATATTTATTTCTAAAATGAAGATGTAATGAGTGAGAGGAAACAGTGCACTAGCTAGTTCTTTTGTGAAAGTGCCATTTCTCTACAATTGCTTGCTCTACATTGTGCTTTATGTACAGTATTTAATGGTTGGAATGCTTCTGTTTCCTAAAGAAAGGAGAAGAAAACATATAAATACTTCAATTTTACAACTTGACACCCCTGCAGTAAGATACTGCCATGCTGTGAGCACAGGCTCATTAGTGGTTTACCATTTCACAAGATAGTCTTAGGTACAATCCCATTACTGAATAGCCTCTGTCTGAGAGAATCTCATTAACTTCCTTCAGTTGGCCCTATGTCCTGATTTGAAATAAGCCACTAGACATGAAAATATCTTCCCATATGATTTTTCGCTTCTATTTCATGATTTATGAGGTCTCACTCCCTTCAAACATGCTAATTCCACTATTCTCCAAGTTGAACACAGAAGCAGGAGTGGCTTATCTGATATCTGAGTTTACAAAATGTCTGAGTGTGAGCAGCTTGGTGGTTTGGTAATTTCTGACATTGAAGTGATACTTCAGGCTGATGATCCTCATGTCAGTGCCTGAGAAGATTATAGAGCAGATCCTCCTGGAAACTAGGCTAAGGTATATGCCAAGTGAGAAGAGGATCTAAGACAGCCAGCACAGCTACATCAAGGGAAGATCATGTCTGACCAATCTGGTGGCCTTCTGTGATGGAGATGCACTGGTGGACAAGGGAAGAGCAACTATGTTTACCTGGACTCTGCAGAACCTCTGACATGGTTTCACACCACATCCTCACCTCTAATCATCTCTAAATTAGAAATATATAATGTAGGGAAGGGGGGAAGTTATTCAGCACTGTTTGGATGGTCACAGCTAAAGGGTTGTGATCAGTGGATCTACATCCAGGTAGAAGTCAGTGACAAGTGGTGCTCCTCAGGAATCTGTCTTGGATATGGTGCTCTATATCTTTATGTCTTATCATATATCTTTATGTCTTTATCAGTGATGCATTCAGTGGGACTGAGTGCATCATGGGCAAGCTTACTGATAACACCAAGCTGAGTGATGCAGTTGATACAATAGAATGAAGGGATGTCATCTGGAGAGACCTGGACAGGCTTGAAAAGTGGGCAAACATGAACCTATTGAGGCTTAACAAGGCCAAGTGCAAGATACTGTTCCAGGGTTGAGGCAATCCTGGATATCTCTGCAGACTGAGAAGAATTCACTGAGAGCAGCACTGTGAAGAAGTTGGGAGTCCTGGTGGATGAAAATCTGGACATGAGCCAGCAATGTACTCTTGCAGCCTGGAAGTCCAATAGTATCATGGGCTGCATCAAAAAGATGGCCAGCAGAGAGAGAGATGATTGTCTTTCTCTACTCTGTCCTTTTGAGGCCCTAACTGGAGTACTGCATCCAGGCCTGGAGCTGGAAGAAAAGGCTTGAGGGAGACCTCATTGTGGCCTCCTAGTACTTGAAGGGAGCTCATAAACAAGAGGAAGACGGACTTCTTACACTATCTGATGGTAATAAGACAAGGGGAAGCTTTTCCAAAGTAAAATCAGCTTAGATATTAGGTAGAACAGAATGCCAATAAGAAGTTACCTGGAAGCATTCAATGCCAGGCTGAATGTGGCCTTGGGCAGCTTGATCTGGTGGGTGGCAGCCCTGCCCATGGCAAGGAGGTTGGAACTAGATGATTCTTTAGTTTCTTCCAACCTAAGCCACTCTATGATCTTCCCAGTTTAAAAGAGCTGGGATAATGTGGTTTTCAGAGGAAGTTCTACATGCTATTTTGAACTTCTAAGCTTCCCAGTCATACTGCTTATTCACAGCTTTGGTAAACAATGATAAACATACACTGCTAGGCATAATCTACTGTTCCAAATGTACTATTACTATAAGAGTATGTCTCAGTCACCAGCCAAATACAAGAGGTTTGTCTGGGAATGAATAATACGTGGTTAGAACATGCGAGATTTTTCATCCAGATTTTCATACAAACAGGCTTTTTCAGCACTTGAGATACAAAATCATCCCCTTCAGTGTGTGAAAAGTTCTGGATTTCAAGTTTTACTAAGCTTTATTTATGCATGAGAATAAGGTGGCACCTCACCATTAGCTAGTATGGTGACTAGGGACCTGACGCATCTCCCTTATGGAAAAAAAAGGCTGAGAGACCTAGAGCTGTTCAGCCTGGAGAAGACTGAGAAGGAGTCTTATTAGTACTTGAAAATATCTAAAGGGCGTAACCTACTGTAAGGAATCTGCTTTAGCAGGTGTGTTGGACTAGATGATATCCAGAGGTCCCTTCCAACCCCTATGATTCTGTGATTTGATGTGTTAGTTTTATCTTGTCTGCAGCAAAACACCTAGACTTATTAAGGGTATCAAGATGGTGGAACAGAGTAGGAAGATACAGCAATTTTAAAAGTTTTCTCATTGCTGCAGCCATTTTAAAAGTCTACACAAACGTGTAGTTGTTACTGCCTTTGGAAAAATTAAACTCCTTTCAAGTGTTAAAAGCAAAAGTAAAGCACACGATCCTATGATTCTAAAACCTTTAGGAAAGAACTTCTAAAACGTACGCTTTCAATTTCAATGACATTCCTCAAATAAACCTAAAAGTCTTTCTAACAGGTGCTGTAATTGCACATATATACCATTTTTAATGTCAAAAGTATTGTGAACCAATCTTAATTTTCCCTGCAATGTAATATTTTTCATGAGAAAATCTGCCTCACAGGTAGTGAAAAGTAGTGCTAAAGCTCATATTATGAGCTTATGTGGTAGTCATTCTGTTTGGAGAGAAGAAGCAATGTATTGAAACAACAGCAGAAAAAAAAAAAAATATTCCTAAGAATTTTTTTTCCTAAAAACCAAGTGTGTAACACAACAAAATTGTCTACAGAAATATTTAAGAACTACATCATTTCTTCTCTATACTTGTTTATAAGTAACCAAAGCATTTTCAAAGATGTTACAGTTATACAATAAAAAGATAAATAAATAATAAAGGATTAAAAATAAATCTTCAGCATGACAAACTCCTGAGCAAGACAGCATTGTCACAGTAGTCAAACTAAAGACTTATGAGAATATATACAAACAAACCAGGTCTGGTGAATCTGAGAGTGCAGAATGTGTTGAATGTTGTGTACGTATCAGGATTCAATGACAAGGAATTTTGAGATAAGTAAGCAGTAGATGCACTTATTTGAATGTTTTATTCCTGTCTGCAAAGGTTTTTAGAGTTTTTTTTTTTTTTTTTTGCATGCACACAAAAACAACTTGCAGTAAACTTAATGCGGATGAAAGATGCCAGATTGATAGCCCTAGGGACTGAGTTTCTCTGTATACAGAGAACAGATATAGCACAGAGTGAGAAAAGTTGTACCCCTGCCAGAATGCCATACAATACACAGCTTATGCAACAGTCTTCACACCACAGAACCCTTTGCCATGCCACTGAAAATGTTAAAAATACTGCTGCTTAGTGTTCATTATAAGGCAAAATATGATGTGGATGCTGTTATTAACATCCGCAGGGACACAATTCAAGCCATCAGCTCCTTTAAAAATGTTTGTTTTTGTGCTGAATGGCTCTGTTGTCAGCTGTACGCTTTGCTGCACTGTTTGACAGGCTGAAGAGTCAAACTGAACTGGGTATGAAAACAATTATTAAATAGGGTGTTATTCCAACAGAAAAATACCAAAGAAAAGTGATTTAACAGTTTTTTTCAAGAAAGTTTATGGTCAGATACATGAGTGCGCATCTAGTGCTCAGAATAACTTAATTGCTTCACTTAATTAGTATCTAGGAACTCTCCAGTGATCTGCATAGTTCATCTAGCTCATTTTAAAGGTCAGTAATTCCCAATTAATGAGGTTTTATGTGTTTGTAATGCTAGGCTGAAAGCTATGCTGTCACACATAGCAGGCAAGCTTCTAAGGAACCTTGGACTTTTGCTTCTCTTACTACTGATAATTTGGCTGAATAGCAAAAAAACAAAAACAAAAACAACAACAAAAAAAACAAAAAAAACCAAACCAAAAATCCCACCCCAAAACTGAATCCCTCAAATCCAAGAGCCCAGCTACTTTTCACTGTCAACAGGTCACACATAAAATAGCAATAAGTAAAGCTTTATAAAGCATAGTGGCTCCAAATGTAAAATTACTGAGCTCATTATAAGGAACAAATTGCCATTTAATTGGAAGATTTCCAACACAAAGTTTGTTACCTGTTGGTTGTATCTTAAACCAAATTGTGGCACAGAATTAAATGCTACTGCATCTCTGGGACCTTTTTTGGTGCATGTATGGTATTGCAATGGAGGGGTGGTGATGACAAGGGAACAAGACAAAATAATGAGACTACACAACAATTTAAAAATATATATATTCCTATGGCCTATTTCCAAAATTTTGATACTACTTTGCCATTTGATGAGTGCAGATGCTTACAGCACTTTTGAAGGTATCTCTTACCGCTCATCTATCACTTTCCTTGGTCACCATCTGAAGTATTACAACAAGATGAATGAAACAGAGCAGGTAAAGTGCAAGTGAAAACAATAATTC